GTGGTGTATCTGGATCGGGAGGCACACGGTTGCTCACACAGCCCGCTTGTAAGTACCAATATTTTGCTCCTTTTATCTAGAAATGGCGCATGTTTACTCAAGTCCTATTATAACTTCTAGTTACAATAGGATTTTACACCTTACATCCACTTCCCTGATGTGTGGTGTTGCTTAACATATTACTTCAGCTCTGACCTCAAATTTTTTTGGTAGTGGTGCATGAATTCTGTAGAATTATAGAGATCTAATCTTCGCAATCTTTGTATTTCAGGTATACAGGGGAAATTAAGAGATTACCAATTAGCTGGTTTAAATTGGCTCATTAGGTTGTATGAGAATGGCATCAATGGAATTCTTGCAGATGAAATGGTAAAAACCACTTCTTATTCAAGCATATAATAAGGTTTTTCAGCTATCAATTTTCTCTGATGCTAATCTTTTCATCAATTTTGTTCCATGGCCTAGGGTCTAGGGAAGACACTTCAAACAATTTCTTTGCTAGCTTACCTGCATGAGTACAGAGGAATTAATGGCCCTCATATGGTAGTTGCTCCAAAATCAACCCTTGGTAACTGGATGAATGAAATTCGCCGATTTTGTCCTGTCCTGCGCGCTGTGAAATTTCTCGGTAATCCTGAGGAAAGGGTAAGTAAAAATGCTTTGCCATTTGAATGGTTGTATCTATATGTGCCCACCAGGGTTTCTGAAACACATATTAAATAATAATGCAGAGATATATTCGCGATGAACTGTTAGTTGTGGGAAAATTTGACGTTTGTGTTACAAGCTTTGAGGTGGCTATTAAAGAGAAGACAGCATTGCGCCGTTTTAGCTGGCGTTATATAATCATTGATGAAGCACATCGAATCAAGAATGAGAACTCACTCCTTTCAAAGACCATGAGACTTTTTAACACCAATTATCGGCTTCTTATCACCGGAACCCCGCTTCAGGTATTTGTTCAATCTTTTGATCTAGAATTGCTTAGATCCTTAAATTTTTTTCTGTCATATTGCGTTTGACTGTATGTTGAAACTACTTTTCTTGCACCAATGTCTGTTTGAAAATAGCTGTTTTTATTTTATGTCTTTGTACATGCTTCTTATTATATTTTCGCATTTAGTTTGTTTTAGATAATACGTTTTCGTTTTATATATCTCACATTTGTGTCTTATGCAGAATAATCTCCATGAATTGTGGGCTCTTCTCAATTTTCTGCTGCCTGAGGTTTTTAGTTCAGCAGAGACTTTTGATGAGTGGTTTCAAATTTCTKGTGAAAGCGACCAGCAAGAAGTTGTTCAACAACTTCACAAGGTATGTACTCGTGATTATCATGTTTATTCTTCAGTGGATGTGCTAATCATTTACCTCTATCACTTTTAGGTCCTCCGACCATTTCTTCTTCGGAGGTTGAAATCGGATGTAGAGAAAGGCTTACCTCCAAAAAAGGAGACAATACTCAAAGTTGGCCTGTCGCAGATGCAAAAACAGTACTACAAGGCTTTACTGCAGAAGGATCTTGAAGTGGTTAATGGTGGTGGAGAACGCAAACGTCTGTTGAACATTGCAATGCAATTGCGCAAATGCTGCAATCACCCTTATCTCTTCCAGGGTGCAGAGCCTGGTCCCCCCTATACCACAGGAGATCACCTTGTAACAAATGCAGGTAAGACTTGCATTCAAATTAGATCCTCTAGATGTATGTGGCTAAATGTCGTAATTATTTTGGGTTGCATTTCCTTGTTTCTAGGTAAGATGGTTCTCTTAGATAAATTACTACCTAAGTTGAAGGAACGCGATTCAAGGGTTCTGATATTTTCTCAGGTAAAACATTAATGCGAACATGTAATGATTCCTTTTGTTGTTTTCTTTTATCTTAGGGTTATTCTTGTTTAATTGTGCTATATCAGATGACAAGGCTTTTGGATATTCTTGAGGATTATTTAATGTATCGCGGTTACCAGTACTGCCGTATTGATGGAAATACTGGTGGTGATGAACGAGATGCTTCCATAGAAGCCTATAACAAGCCAGGAAGTGAGAAATTTGTTTTCTTGTTATCTACTAGAGCTGGAGGGCTTGGTATCAATCTTGCCACTGCAGATGTTGTGATCCTTTATGACAGTGACTGGTAAGGCTCTTTTCGTGTCCATTGTAGTTTATGAGTGTTTTCTTCATGCTTAATGAGATGGGCGGATTCTGGCAGGAATCCCCAAGTTGACTTGCAAGCTCAAGATCGTGCGCATAGGATTGGTCAGAAGAAAGAAGTTCAAGTATTTCGGTTCTGCACTGAGGTTAATCTTCTACCCATGTGTATTGAGCAAGAAAACATTCAGAACTTAAACTGATAATGTATTGGGCATTTACAGAATGCTATTGAGGAGAAAGTGATTGAGAGAGCTTACAAGAAGTTGGCGCTTGATGCCCTGGTGATTCAGCAAGGGAGATTGGCAGAACAGAAAAGTAAGTGCTTGTGTACAGAGGTTGTAAAATGCATTGATTTGTCTCATTGATTTGTTTCTATTCTTTATTTTGCAGCTGTTAATAAAGATGAGTTACTCCAAATGGTGAGATATGGTGCTGAAATGGTGTTTAGTTCTAAAGATAGCACAATTACGGATGAGGATATTGACAGAATCATTGCCAAAGGAGAAGAGGCAAAGGCTGAACTTGATGCCAAGATGAAGAAATTCACTGAAGATGCGATACAGTTTAAAATGGATGACAGTAAGCGTGGCATATATCCTTTCTCCTGTTATTTATGATAACTCCCTTGCATGAGTAATGGCATGTCTGAAATCATTTATTTTTCGGGTTGTTGCAGGTGCTGACTTTTATAATTTTGACGATGACGATAAGGTATTCTTGAGTTGCATGATTTTCTGAAATGTTTAATCCATACTGTGGTTACCTCTGCCCTTTTTTGAATCATTTTTTACTGAACTCTAATTAATTTTGTTTTGTAGGATGAGAACAAGTTTGATTTTAAAAAGATTGTGGGTGAGAATTGGAATGATCCACCAAAAAGAGAGAGAAAGCGCAAGTAAATGTTACTTCTACTTTTTTTCATTATGTGGCCTATTCCGTCTTCCTAAACAATATCTGACCTCAAAAATTTACTTTTATTTACACACCTTTCAGCTACTCTGAAACTGAATACTTCAAGCAAACATTGCGACAAGGTGCTCCAGCTAAACCTAAAGAGCCTAGAATTCCTCGCATGCCTCAGTTGTACGTACCTCAATTGCACTACTCTGCATTTAGCCTTTCTCTGTCTTATGGATAGTATTTATATCGTTAAAATCTATTTTTGTCCTGTCCACCCGCAGGCATGATTTCCAGTTCTTTAACATTCAGAGATTGACCGAGCTATATGAAAAAGAAGTCCGATATCTTATGGTAGGGGTCTTATTTGAGAATAAGTTTCTGAACTTATTATGTAATCTATGCAACTTGTCTCTGAATAGTTCTGAAGCTTTAAAGTAATAGCAAGTTGTTTCACTTTGGTTTCAGCAAACGCATCAGAAAACTCAGATGAAAGACACGATCGAAGTTGATGAAGCTGAAGGTCAACCTCGATTTTTCAGTCTGTGCCCTCTTTTCTTACATTATTCCACTGAACCTATCACTGATTAAGAAATATTTTCTCAGAAGTAGGAGATCCCTTAACTGCTGAAGAAGTGGAAGAAAAGGAGGGATTGCTGGAAGAGGCAAGTGAAACCATTTGACGTTACTGTAGGTATGTGTTTTGATGGGCTTTGTATAAGAAAGTGGAGTTGTTGATGTTTTCAGGGTTTCTCAACATGGAATAGAAGAGACTTCAATACGTTTATTAGAGCTTGTGAGAAGTATGGCCGAAACGACATTACAAGTATTGCATCTGAGATGGAAGGGAGAACAGAGGAAGAGGTTGAACGATATGCTCAAGTGTTCAAAGATCGATACAAGGAGCTCAATGGTAAGTAACTTAAGATTCTTATCAGTTACAATAAGATGGGATATTTTGCCTCGCAAAAGAAACTTATGCCAAATCAGCTTTGCCCCTTTGACCTTCTAAAATTTGTAGATTATGATAGAATCATCAAGAATATTGAGAGAGGGGAAGCAAGAATCACTAGGAAAGATGAAATCATGAAAGCCATTGGAAAGAAACTGGATCGCTACAGGAACCCATGGCTGGAACTGAAGATTCAGTATGGTCAGAACAAAGGAAAATTGTACAATGAAGAGTGTGACCGTTTCATGGTCTGATATCTTATTTATCCTTCTTTTTTCTTTAATCTGTGGTTGATATTTCACTGTTTTGTTTCATTCGTATATGACATTGATCCAAAGGAACTTGTGATTAACAGATATGCATGGTCCATAAACTTGGGTATGGAAACTGGGATGAGCTAAAGGCGGCGTTTCGGACATCTCACATGTTCAGGTTTGACTGGTTTGTAAAATCCCGTACTAGTCAGGAACTTGCCAGGAGATGTGACACACTGATACGGCTGATTGAGAAAGAGAACCAAGAGTATGATGAGAGAGAGAGGCAAGCCCGTAAAGAGAAGAAGCTTGCAAAGGTGAGGACTTGAGGGAACATCTTACACGCACATACTTTAGTGTTTGGTTAATGTTGAAAAACGCGGTGGAATTGTTTCTCATGATCTGCTCTATATATTGTTTCAGAGTGCAACTCCATCAAAACGAGCTTTGGGTAGGCAAGCAAATGAGAGCCCTCCTCCATCTTTCAAGAAACGAAAGCAGCTGTCAATGGATGATTTCGTGACCTCGGTATGCAAAATCATTCAAAATATAGATTTGTTAATTTTGCTGGGTTAAATGATGCAAGTCAGACCATTCTTTAGAAACGAACCATAATGGATTACTCTGTGAAAAGCTTTACATAATGTCTAGCTCTGTTCCTAACTCGAAAACTTCATAAATCCTGCAGGGAAAGCGTAGGAAGTAAGGAGACCGTTGTTGAATCCATTGGGCTTATGCATATTTAAGAAATATGGTTACTTTTAGCCTTTTAGGTATGATTCCAAATCATAGAATTGGTTATAGAAAGCTTCTTTTGTGACTAGGGCAGTTCTAATCAACATCATTATTTGTTGACTACTCTTTGTTCCTACGTGTATTTTAACTTTTGTAGAATCGCTATGAGATGTAAAAACACTCCTAGTTTCTTCAGCTTTCCAAGTAATTCTACAAGTACAACTGAAATTCTCTTTTCTGGTCAGATTTGAGCAGACCAGATAGTCTCTTCTCAAGTTCCACCAGTTTGGGACAGTACAATACTAAGGATAGGTACCTTTTTCTCTTCTTCTCTTTCTGATAGACTCGAATTCATACACAAGAGAGACATTAAAAATAGTACAGAAAAGAAATGTAAAAATCGACTCAATTTCTCCCTCCCATATTACATATACAACCCATTTAGCAAGAAGAAGAATAAACCCCAAAAACATCACTTGAAAAAGAAAACCTTTCTCCACCAATCTAAACGCCCCGTCTCCCCTCTACTCAACATCATTCTCAAACTCTCTTCCTTCATATGTTCTTGAGCTTCAATCACAATATTGAAGAGTCTCTCTTTCAACTCAGACATCAAATCCGATAACTGAACGACCTGACTCGACCCAACAAATGTTCATGTGACCCCAACGCCTCTCCCTTTTGCCTCTTGCCACAAAAGACAAATGTTCTCTCCTTTTTAAACATACAAAGCTTTCCTCTTTTTCCTTATTTTAGTCATTTGAACTATCAAAGCTGCCCTGTCCAGTGGTAGCTCTCTTCCTCTCCCTCCAATTCTCTCCCCACACCTTTGCTTCAGCAACAGCTCTCTCTCTATCTAAATCCCGGTTTCTCGGATTACCTCTTGATGCTCTCCCAACACTTGCTGGACTACCTCTCTGTGATTCTGTCCCTTCTAAATCGCTTAATCCCCATTTTCTCCCTGACCCACCTCCAGTTTCGCTTCCTGCCTCTGATCCCGCATTCACTTCCCTSACCATATCCCTTCTTCTGTAATCAGGAGAGTTCTTGTGAGTCGCCGGTGAACCTAACCGGCTACGAGTCTCTGCAGGACTATCCAAGCTACTCCCATCTCCCATGCTTCTCCGTTCATCCCTTGTCCTGATAAATGGTGGCCCGCCACCGCTTCTACTGTTTTGACCGCTTGATGCATTAGGGTCAAACGTCTGAGAAGCTAAGTACGTTAAAGCTGTCACCACGTCGCCAATCAACGGTCTTGTCGCTGCTTGTTCCTGTAAACACATTGCTGCAACCGCAAGCGCTTGATAAAGACCACGCATTGGATACCGCCCTTGCAGCGATGGATCCGCCATCTTCGGAAACTTCCTGCGATCTTTGAACAGCGGCCTAGCCTGTGTAATCAAGAAAAGACCAACAAGAGAAAGAAGACCCAAACGGTTCAAGTAAGCAAAGACATTTCCGATCCAAAATCATCACATCAAAGTGCAAAAAAGTTGAGGTTCTTTTTTGACATACCCATGCGACGAGGTTGTGCTCTCCGGGTGCTCGAGCATTATCAATCGCTTTTCTACCTGTGATGAGCTCAAGAAACACAACTCCAAAGCTATAAACATCGGATTTCAATGTGAGTTGCCCCGTCATGGCGTATTCCGGTGCACAATAGCCGTATGTACCCATAACACGGGTTGAGACATGTGTTTTATCGCCCACGGGACCTAACTTAGCTAACCCAAAATCAGATAACTTAGGGTGATAGCCATCGCCTAGAAGAATGTTGGATGATTTCAAGTCTCTGTAGATCACAGGCGGGTTCGCCTTATCATGCAAATACTCCAGTCCCTTTGCTGCTCCTGCCGCTATTGTCATTCTTGTGTTCCAGTCTAGAGGCTCTTTATCAGGTGGAAGATCTGAAAAACCAAAATTCTAATTCACCTTATGCACTGCATTGAACTATTTGCAAGCTAACGTTTCAATTTTGTTTACCATAAATAGCTTTTGAAGTACAGATTAAATATATCAAATCAAATATAATATAATAACACTAGACACATGCCGTAGTTTCTATATATGGTTGTTTTGAGTCGAATTGTGATGGGTTCCCACTACTTCCAAATGGAATTTCCATGTTTAGAGCAGGGAAATATCGTTAGGTTTACCGTGTAGATGATCCTCCAATGATCCCAATGGCATATACTCATACACAAGAAGACGCTGGTCACCATCAGCGCAATAACCAATCAAATTCACAAGATTGGGGTGATGCAGAAGGCTCAGCATAAGAACCTCTACAAGAAACTCTCTGTTTCCTTGTAGACCGTTTCGATCTAGCTGTTTAACAGCTACTATCTGCAAAACATAAAATCCGATCCAAAATTTAGATGATGAGTTTGATTGAGAAAATAAAAGGATGATTCTGTTGACTGATTTTCAAGAACTTCACCTGTCCGGTGCTCTCTAGACGACCCTTGTAAACACGTCCGAAACCTCCTTCTCCAAGAAGACATTCTAGTCGAAAGTTTTTAGTGGCGGCAGCTAACTCTCTGAAGGTAAACGTTTGTGCAGCAATATGAGCAGTTGGCCCTTCTTTTAGAGCGGTTAGCTCCTTCTTATGTTCAGGACCTCCTCGAGATTTTGATTTGTCTACAAAAAAGAGGAAATGTTAGTACGTTCCATTACAAAGCAATGTGCAGGACGCAACAGTACTAATAAGAAAGGGAATAAGATAACAGTAACCATCGAAAACGGTATTTCCAAATTAGAAAAGTCATATTAAACTAAAAGTCTAAAACCCTTCACATTTCAAAGAGACTGAGCTTTCACATTCAATTTCAATCAACAGATTCACTGGTCTTCAATTCTACTATTGTTAAACTAGTGATGTCAAGAAGAACATGTCTGTGAAATCGATAAATCGTCAATATTTTGAAGACCCTAAACCTAAACACTTTTATGATTCCTCTGTTTGTTGGATAGCATTTAGAAATCTACTTAGGCATCTCTTAATTCCATTACATGAATAGAGAACTAAACAGAATCTGAACTGATCCTAAGTAGTATGATTCACACAAACCACTTTTTGGAGCTAAATTGTAACATAACTATAATCAGATCTCACGAATTAGAGTCCAGAAACACCATAGCCCTGAAGCTTAGCTTAGATTAGAGAAATCAACATTTCTTTCCAAATCATTATCCAAGATACGAACTTTAAGAGAACCCATAAACATAAACCGATCTTAGAAACGAAAACTCGACAGATCCCAAAGTCTCAACCGAAAAAATTAAAAATTTCTCACCTAAGCTGACATGGTGAGACTGACTAACTGAGCTGTCTTTAGCTGAAACTTCCTTCTTCACCGAATCTTTAGAAGCTGAGTCTTTACCCGAAGATCCAAAGCAAGGGAAACACCCACTCATCTCCGAAGCTTAAGTCCTCGG